TTTGTGGATTTTTAGAAGGATTCAGAGGATGGTTAGGACGTGATTGGATCCTTTGGTATTCATTAGGATAAGTAGAAGATTTCGAATACGACTTGTATTGCTGTTGTTGCTTATGGATACCTGTGATACTGATGACTCATCCCTTCTCTTCCCACCATCGAAGGCGTAAGGACTACAGAGTCAATCTACTCGATGCCATTTTTTTATATGCGGATTCATACCTACTAACACATTCCATTATAGCGCGAACGTGTGCGACCGCACGGTGTGACCCGATTATGAATATACGGAAAAACCTAAACGTAATAATTCTCTTACGACGAAACAAGTTTTAGAAATGCCTAGCGACTAGATAAACATTAATGGTAAACAAACATACAAATTTGAGGAAGTTGTCTCTGTATAAAGAAGTTAAACCGGCTGATGTAATATTGCTGTAAATTGACGTCAGTTCTGCCAAAGTGAATATGATTCAGAATTTGTGCATATCGGTGTTGAGATCAAGGAACCCCGTGCGGACACGATGTGAAACTAAAATAACCTGAGAAATCGTCATTATTGATCGCAATGCCCTATTGCCCTAGATAAATAATGAAAGCAAAAAAAAAACAATGGTAGATAATAATCCCAATTGAATTTTACATTTCGAAATTTTTGAAAATGATTGGAAAATAAATAATTGCTCATGTATTTATTCTTCTTGAATACCCTAATAATCTGCATAATGTTGGAAAGCGGGTTGTAAAGTTAACAGAAGGAAAACATTTGTGAAAACATTTGTTGGATGGGCCAGTCTAAGCTAAATCGCCTGTCTATTGCGTCCATGTATTTGAATTTGTCAGTTTAACTTCAAGCAACTGGATATTTTTAAGTATTTGTAAAATAATAATAATAATCCGGCCTTATTTATACAAAGTATAAAAAGGCGCTAAATGAGTTACAAACGTCACGATCGTAATGTAAACATGTAACATATAAATCCGAACACCCAGTTTAAATGGTTTTATTTTAATAAAATTTTGTATAAGTACTTAATGAAGCATAATAAGTAAATGATAAAAATTTCAAAATGATTGCACTGCTTTGAAGGCCTTTGACCTTTAATAATGTGTGGATGCACCCTGATGTGCTATGCATTCTCCAACGCGCCTAGGCATGCTTCTGATCAGGTGGTCAATGTCCTCCTGTGGTATCTCATTCCAGGCAACCACCAACTCCTCTCGAAGTGCTTCTAGAGTCTGAGGAGGACGTTGCAAATTGAGCAATCTCCTACCCATCATATCACACACGTGCTCAATTGGGGATAAGTAGATCTTGGTGGCCATGGTAATAATGTGACATCATTATGTTGAAAGAAGTCTATTGTGACTCTTGCAACATGTGGTCGGGCATTATCTTGTTGGAAAGTTGGATCTGCCAGGGTGTCAAGATAGGTTAAAAGATGGGGTTCTAGAACTTCGTGGATATAACGTTGCGCGTTCATGTTACCTCTGATGAAGATTAAAGGTGACCTGGAACCATAAGCTATAGCACCCCAAACCATAACTCCAACAGTGTGATGAACATGTCTTTCAACAAAAAACTGTGGATTCCTCCTTTCACCACGTCGCCTTCTAACCGTCGTGCATGCCTAAACAAAATCGAGACTCGGCACTAAAGACAATACTGTTCCATTCCTGATCCCAGAGTGACCGTTGTCTGCACCACTCAAGGCGATTACGTCGGTGTTCTCGAGTTAAAGGGAGGACCCAGTGTGGCCGGTATGAAAACAAGCCAAAACTTCTCATTCGTCGGTAAACACTTCGCATGCCAATAGGTCTTCCGTGTTCTGCAAACCATTCATTTGCAATGGACCTGGTAGTGGAGAAACGGTCCCTTAAGGCCAATAATCTTAGGCGGCGATCTTCACGGTCTGTTGTTCTACGGCGGCGTCCAGTGCCCCTTGCTCTTTGCGTACGGCCTTCTCGAAACCATGCCTGACAACACCTAACCACAGTTTCTACACTTCTTTGCATTCTAACTGCAATTGCCCGAAAAGAAAGTCCAGCTTCCCGAAGTCCCACTATATACGGTCCCTATCAAACTCACTAAGTTGACGAAATCGTACAGGTCTCCGTACTCTAGGCATCGTAACCGATCGTAAAGGATGTCAAGAACCAAAATCCGCCAACGTTGATTCTTTACTGCGGCTGAAATATTCATTTTTAGAGCGTTAGTGAATTAAAGAAAAGCAGTATAAAAACCGGAATGTCCAACTGATAAGGCTGAAAATTTTTTCACTTGTTATTTACAGTAAGATAAATACATTCACCAACTTTTATTAAAATAAAACCATTTAAACTGGGTTTTCGGATTTATATGTCACTTAGTATATGTTCTGGACCTTGTTACTGAATTTATTCAAACTGGATCTGTTGCAAATAAAAAATCATCATCGGAGAGTTTTGGATGAAGCCGCTCAAGTTGAAGCTTTGGGTCATTTTGGAACAAATCCTAATACTTCATTCCGCAGAATTGTTGCTGCGACTTGTATTTCATTAAGCTTTGTACACACAGTTACAAAACTCCATAAGATTCATCCATTCAAAATGAAACTGTTGCAAGCGTTGGCCGGAGATGATTTCCTTAGGTGAGATGAGCTTTGTGAAGAAATTGATGTAAAGAATATCTACTTCAGCGATGAATGCACATTTTATCTAAATAGATTTGTTAATAAGCATAACTGCAGGTATTGGAGCAATGAAAATCCTCATGCTTTCATAGAAGGGCATACCCAGTACCCCCAAAAAATTAATGTATAGGCAGTTAGGAAACAAAGTGATTGGGCCATTGTTTATTAATGGAAGTTTGAATGGAGATGTTTATTTGGATATGTTGGAAAATACCATCAATCCGCTTATCACTGCAACCATTGAAAACCAAGTCGAAGAACATGGAAACCCTATAGTTGATGAGGGTGAAATATGGGGTTGTCCAAAACGGACGCAGGAAAGTAAACGCATTTTAAAACAAGAAAGATTGATATTCAAATCAAGTTGGGTACTTTATTTTGAAGGTTCATTTATACAATTTATGTATGAAAAATAATATCGCTCAAATGTTCAGCACGACTGGATTTACAGACGTCCACGCGATGGTCGAAATTTTCAATGACATTTTGCAACATGGTCGGTTCTATGGCATTTATCTCGACAATGATGTTGTTTTTGAGTTCTTGGAGGGTGGCTGGTTTGTTGACGTAGACTTTGCTTTTCAAATATCCCCATAAAAAGAAGTCCAAGGGAGTCAAATCGCACGATCTTGGTGGCAATGGCACATTTCCTCTGCGCGAAATCACGCGATCACCGAAGAAGGACTGCAATCGATGGATAGTGACGTTGGTTGTGTGGCATGTTGCACCGTCTTGTTGGAAATAAACATCGTCCATATCCAATCCTTCAAGTTGCGGCAAAAAATAGTCCTCTATCATCACGTGATATCGCTCAGAATTGACGGTAACGGCGTCCCCGGCCGCATTTTCGAAAAAGTAAGGTCCGATGATGCCTTTTCACCACAATGCACACCACACAGTCACTTTTTGAGGATGCATCGGCTGCTCTTGATACTCACTGGGATTTTCGTTCGCCCAGATGCGGCAGTTTTGCTTATTTACCGTCCCATTCAAAGTGAAATGCGCTTCGTCGCTGAACATGATTTTTGATGAAAAATTGGCATCAATTTGGCGGTGTTCAAGGAGCCAATCTGAGAACGTTCGGTGCGAAAAATGGTCGGCCCGACGCAGCTCTTGCGTCAATTGGATCTTGTAGGCGTGTACATTCAAATCCTTGTGGAGAATGCGGAGCAAACTGGTTCTCGAAATGCCCAATTCTTGGGATCGACGCGTTGTTGATTGTTTCGGATCGTCTCTCACACTCTCCTTCACAAGAGCAATATTTTCCGGTGTGCGAACGCTCCTTGGCCGGCCAGAGCCTGGCAAATTTGCCACAGAACCTGTTGCTTCGAATTTACGCACCAGACGACCGATGGTTGTTTCGTTTGGGCGGTTGTTGCGACCGAAATGTTCGAGAAGCGCGCGAAACGTGTTTTTTATTTTTGCACCATTTTTGTAGTGCTCTTGAATAACTTTAATGCGGTCTTCAATCGAATACGACTCCGTAGCGATCAATGGTAAACATTCAACTAACAAAATGACATGTCGGTGACAGAAAACAAAGATGGCGTCTATGTCAAATTGACGTTTACTTTCCTGCGTCCCTATTGGACAACCCTATATATGTCCAGCAAGACGTCGCTCGTCCTCACTATGTAACCGGAATTTCGGCAATGGCTGGACGACGAGTTTCCAGATAAATGGATAGGGCGAAGAGGGTCTATAGAATGGCCTGCTAGACCTCTCCTTATTTGACGCCACTAGATTTTTTTCTATGGGGCCATTTGAAATCTATTTTGTTTACTCCCCAAACTGAGAGTTTGGATGATCTTCGTCAACGCATCTTTGACAGCTGCCATGATATTCCACAACATGTTTTTGAGAAAGTCCGTCAGGAATTTGAACATCGCCTATATCATTGTTTGGCCAATAACGGGAAACATTTTGAACACTTATTGAAATAAAAAGTGACATTTTCGCGTCTATTTGTTTTCTATTTGAACAAATTAGGATAAATAAAGATTTTTGTAATTTTCTCAAAAACGAATTGACTGATTTCAAGAAATCAAGAAATTTTTAAGGGGATGCCTCTGGGGGTAGAGGGCGAAAGGGGGCTAAGAAGTTTTTGATTAAAAAATTGTCCCCCTTAATAAATATTTTGACTTGTCTCGGCGTTTTTTCTCTTAATCAGTGCTTTTCGATAAATCCTTGGTGGGAAATTTTCAAATGAATACTCTGTAGATATACGCATGCAAAAATGTTTATGAAAATTCAGAAATATTGAAAAATATTCAATGGAAAACTACAGAAATATGCGAAAGCGCAGGACTAAACTCAGACATTCCCCGTACTCGTGGACTGGTCGTCATTGAGAGTGTTGTGAATAAATTTACAATTAAAAAGTAGATTTATTCAGATTTCCAGTTTCTCGCTTGAAAGAAACCCGTTGGTATATTAATAAAATCCTCGGTTCGGCAGAAATCTCTGTCAGTTCGCCGAGTGAGTAAAACGCCTACAGTGTCGACTTTGAAAGGGTTTTGTTTTTAATTTTCTCATTTAATCAGAGCAATTTATGTGTCAATGAAAAGTCTAGATTTTTTGCTGAGATCCAGACATCAGCGATTTATAAGGTGAGTGTGCAAAACTCTTTCTGATCATAATCTTACGTGACATATACAAGTACAGTATAAAAAATAAATATTGCAATCGGTCAAACTTTGAATTTGGAAGTTAATAGGGAAATCTATGGATTTCAAAACATAATTCCTATTCGACAAATAAAACACTGCTTTATTTGTTATATTTCTTAGATACTTATTATTAAAATAACATTATTTACTATTTTTTTTATAGTCAGGCTATACTTGCGTGTGTTCTTGTACGCAAGGTATTAAAAATTATATACTAAGTGACATATAAATCCGAACACCCAGTTTAAATGGTTTTATTTTAATAAAATTTTGTATAAGTACTTAATGAAGCATAATAAGTAAATGATAAAAATTTCAAAATGATTGCACTGCTTTAAAGCCCTTTGACCTTTATTAATGTGTGGATACACCCTGATGTGCTACGCATTCTCCAACGCGCCTAGGCATGCTTCTGATTAGGTGGTCAATGTCCTCCTGTAGTATCTCATTCCAGGCAACCACCAACTCCTCTCGAAGTGCTTCTAGAGTCTGAGGAGGACGTTGCAAATTGAGCAATCTCCTACCCATCATATCCCACACGTGCTCAATTGGGGATAAGTCGGGAGATCTTGGTGGGCATGGTAACAATGTGACATCATTATGTTGAAAGAAGTCTATTGTGACTCTTGCAACATGTGGTCGGGCATTATCTTGTTGGAAAGTTGGATCTGCCAGGGTGTCAAGATAGGGTAAAAGATGGGGTTCTAGAACTTCGTGGATATAGCGCTGCGCGTTCATGTTACCTCTGATGAAGATTAAAGGTGACCTGGAACCATAAGCTATAGCACCCCAAACCATAACTCCAATAGTGTGATGAACATGTCGTTCAACAAAAAACTGTGGATTCCTCCTTTCACCACGTCGCCTTCTAACCCTGGCACGACCATCGTGCATGCCTAAACAAAATCGAGACTCGTCACTAAAGACAATACTGTTCCCTTCCTGATCCCAGAGTGACCGTTGTCTGCACCACTCAAGGCGATTACGTCGGTGTTCTCGAGTTCTCAAGTTAAAGGGAGGACCCAGTGTGGCCGGTATGAAAACAAGCCAAAACTTCTCATTCGTCGGTAAACACTTCGCATGCCAATAGGTCTTCCGTGTTCTGCAAACCATTCATTTGCAATGGACCTCGTAGTGGAGAAACGGTCCCTTAAGGCCAATAATCTTAGGCGGCGATCTTCACGGTCTGTTGTTCTACGGCGGCGTCCAGTGCCCCTTGCTCTTTGCGTACGGCCTTCTCGAAGCCATGCCTGACAACACCTAACCACAGTGTCTACACTTCTTTGTACTCTAACTGCAATTGCCCGAAAAAAAAGTCCAGCTTCCCGAAGTCCCACTATACGGCCCCTATCAAACTCACTAAGTTGACGAAATCGTACAGGTCTCCGTACTCTAGGCATCGTAACCGATCGTAAAGGATGTCAAGAACCAAAATCCGCCAATATTGATTCTTTACTGCGGCTGAAATATTCATTTTTAGAGCGTTAGTGAATTAAAAAAAAGCTGTATAAAAACCGGAATGTCCAACTGATAAGGCTGAACATTTTTTCACTTGTTATTTACAGTAAGATAAATACATTCACCAACTTTTATTAAAATAAAACCATTTAAACTGGGTGTTCGGATTTATATGTCACTTAGTATAGTCGACTGAACAACGACTTGCTTTTGACTGAAACAACGTCATCTATATTTTTCTCTGAGATGAAAAAACAAAGAATAGCTACCATCTAAACATACTGGTTTTGTCCGTTCAATCACAGACAGTCAACCATGAACAGATATTTTGTGCTTTTTGGCAACTCATCAGCATCGTCTTTGGCTTAAGGTCAGGACAACGATCGACCTCATCTGTCAAATACCATAAATAGTTTTGCCAACTTTTGTAACTCTGATTTTGAAATGTTGTCGCGTTCAACAAGCAGATATCTAGCACAGGTCAATTCTAGGAGCTTGTCAGACTCTCAAATATTCGGGCATGATCCAGTATAAATCTGTGTTTTCTCGGGATTCTCACTTTTCTAGCTCTCGCGAAGCTTTTTAGATATTGGAATGTCTGGGATTGTAGTCACTTGGTCGATCTTTGATTCAAACACACCTTTCAACACCAATTCATAGACGTGATGACGGCAAGTTTCTGCTCGAGAAGCACGCAAGCACCGTTAGTGAGAGCCGTATTTGAAACAGTAGTATCACAATAGAATCTAAACTTTATCTTCAATATTGCAGTCAATAATAGCATCCCAAACTGCCTGAGCTTGCTCGCTGCCTGAAGAGTTATCCAATTTGGGTACAGCGATAAGTTGCTCTGTATTTTCATACGTTATAAAAATCGGTAGACGATCTTCTTTAGACTTGCGTGTATTTCAAGGTGCCAACAATTTGCCTTCCCAGTGGATAGAATATTAATATTCTTCAAGTGACGCTGTGGCGAGATAGCAATACTAATACTAATACACCTTTACACAGAAACAAGCTTGTGTGTAGGGTTGTTCAATTCACAAAAACCTTAATCTGCTATGGATATTATAGATATAGATATTGCGTATTTTTTTTTTAATTTCAAGTCCGTTACTAACTTTAGTAAAATAACAGTGACTCAGGTATTCCACTATGAAATAGTTCACACTCTTAAAAACAATTCGACTGAGATCGAAAATTGTATGATAAAAACAAATATATAAATTCGTTAAAATCAGTCACAGTCGGTTAATGTAAGCATTTTTGATAAAAACTGGCATCTTCATCTAATACATATGATGTTATTAAAATTCGGTATCGATGAAAAGAGAGAAAGAGAGAAAATGGATAAAAAACAAAGTAAGTATCGATACATCACACCAACATGTTCATTACTTTTATGAGATCTATACAATTATCACAGATATTGTTATGTATGTTTTGCCTAGGTGTATTTGAGATCCATAACTTAAGTTTTTTCTTGAACAGAGATATACTAAGTGACATATAAATCCGAACACCCAGTTTAAATGGTTTTATTTTAATAAAATTTTGTATAAGTACTTAATGAAGCATAATAAGTAAATGATAAAAATTTCAAAATGATTGCACTGCTTTAAAGCCCTTCGACCTTTAATAATGTGTGGATGCACCCTGATGTGCTACGCATTCTCCAACGCGCCTATGCATGCTTCTGATCAGGTGGTCAATGTCCTCCTGTGGTATCTCAATCCAGGCAACCACCAACTCCTCTCGAAGTGCTTCTAGAGTCTGAGGAGGACGTTGCAAATTGAGCAATCTCGTACCCATCATATCCCACACGTGCTCAGTTGGGGATAAGTTGGGAGATCTTGGTGGCCATGGTAACAATGTGACGTCATTATGTTGAAAGAAGTCTATTCTGACTCTTGCAACATGTGGTCGGGCATTATCTTGTTGGAAAGTTGGATCTGCCAGGGTGTCAAGATAGGGTAAAAGATGGGGTTCTAGAACTTCGTGGATATAGCGCTGCGCGTTCATGTTACCTCTGATGAAGATTAAAGGTGACCTGGAACCATAAGCTATAGCACCCCAAACCATAACTCCAACAGTGTGATGAACATGTCTTTCAACAAAAAACTGTGGATTTCTCCTTTCACCACGTCGCCTTCTAACCCTGGCACGACCATCGTGCATGCCTAAACAAAATCGAGACTCGTCACTAAAGACAATACTGTTCCATTCCTGATCCCAGAGTGACCGTTGTCTGCACCACTCAAGGCGATTGCGTCGGTGTTCTCGAGTTAACGGGAGGACCCAGTGTGGCCGGTATGAAAACAAGCCAAAACTTCTCATTCGTCGGTAAACACTTCGCATGCCAATAGGTCTTCCGTGTTCTGCAAACCATTCATTTGCAATGGACCTGGTAATGGAGAAACGGTCCCTTAAGGCCAATAATCTTAGGCGGCGATCTTCACGGTCTGTTGTTCTACCGCGGCATCCAGTGCCCCTTGCTCTTTGCGTACGGCCTTCTCGAAGCCATGCCTGACAACACCTAACCACAGTGTCAACACTTCTTTGCACTCTAAATGCAATTGCCCGAAAAGAAAGTCCAGCTTCCCGAAGTCTCACTATACGGCCCCTATCAAATTCACTAAGTTGACGAAATCGTACAGGTCTCCGTACTCTAGGCATCGTAACCGATCGTAAAGGATGTCAAGAACCAAAATCCGCCAACGTTGATTCTTTACTGCGGCTGAAATATCCATTTTTAGAGCGTTAGTGAATTAAAAAAAAGCAGTATAAAAACCGGAATGTCCAACTGATAAGGCTGAAAATTTTTTCACTTGTTACTTACAGTAAGATAAATACATTCACCAACTTTTATTAAAATAAAACCATTTAAACTGGGTGTTCGGATTTATATGTCACTTAGTATATTTGACTGACGTTCCTAATATCCTCCGGCAAAGCATTATGAGATTTGGGACATAAGTACCTGTTACTCCTTGGGCTTTTGTAAAAAGGAGTTTTAATTGCACGTTCCGTTACATCCAGAAAAAATAGTTTATTCAACTTGATTTTTTGGCAATGAGGTAGTCTTACATCAAGAATGAAACGATAACATTCTCACGAAATTTTATTGGCAAGTAATAAGAAAATAATAATGTGTTGGGTGATCCCGCAACTGAACACAATCCTGCGTACGACTGGCAGATCCATCTTTCCAACAAGATAATGCCCGACCACATGTTGCAAGAGTCACAATAGACTTCTTTCAACATAACAGTGTTACCATGGCCACCAAGATCTCCCGACTTATCCCCAATTAGGCACGTGTGGGATATGATGGGTAGGAGATTTCTCAATTTGCAACGTCCTCCTCAGACTCTAGAAGCACTTCGAGAGGAGTTGGTGGTTGCCTGGAATGAGATACCACAGGAGGACATTGACCACCTGATCAGAAGCATGCCTAGGCGCGTTGGAGAATGCGTAGCACATCAGGGTGCATCCACACATTATTAAAGGTCAAAGGGATTTAAAGCAGTGCAATCATTTTGAAATTTTTATCATTTACTTATTATGCTTCATTAAGTACTTATACAAAATTTTATTAAAATAAAACCATTTAAACTGGGTGTTCGGATTTATATGTCACTTAGTATATTTGTACTACTCAGTTCTCAAAAATTTCTTTCTTCACAAAAACTAAGAGATAACACTTAACAAAGGTAAACAAAAAGAAAGATAAAACGCTGACATTGTTGCCATAGCATGCTTTAAATATAATCATTATGCTGCAAAAAAAAAATAAGTTGAGGAAACACAACAAGAGGGTGAAGCAGTTTTTGGTTATCTCCCTTGTCAAATCATTTGACGTGCCTCGGCAATTTTTCTTTTAATCAGCGGTTTTCGAAAAATCCGTGGTGGGAAGTTTTCAAATGAACACCCTGTATAATATTGCCGTATCATCCGCGAACCTAATGATATCTCCGGCAGCTTCCATCTCGAACAGATTATAAATACATAGCAAGAATAATAACGGTCCCTATTTTGTGTCATGCCACTGATTTTATAATACTCCATTGACCATCAATATCTACATGAAGAAAAATCGATTTCAGGTTGGACAAACATCTCAGGACGAAGAAAGGCAGCCGAAGAGGAAACTCGGGCAACTACAAAGAACTTCAGGTACTAACTCGTATACATCACGTACCTTAGACGAAAAAACAAAATGGTTCATAGCGCTACTGCAGTTTCTTTGTCTAACCAGGCCATTGAATGGGACAGTCAAGTCAAGTAAGTATTCCGATTCACTGGACAACAAATTTTAGTTTTTTAATTGTACCTTGTGGGAAAAGTGCATTTCTTTGTTAATTTTGGGGCGCTGAATCCAAAAATGATAATGAAATAAAAAAAATTAGTTGCGGTTTAGAAAAAAAACTTTTTATTTTTAAGGATATATTAAAAAAAGTTACAAGATTCATATACTTATAAGAATCACTATATGCGCTGTCTTTTTGCTGTTCTTTTATGGATCGTTTCTGGAGCATCTCTACCAAGAGTCTAACAGTAGTCTGCAAGCATGGAAGGATTCCACTTTCCCTGGTACCTTTTTTCCATTGTTGAAATATCCTGATGAAAACGTTCGCCGTGCTCATCACTTACGGCTCCGCAATTGTCAGGAAAAAAGTCCAGGTGTGAGTGTAGGAAATGTATCTTAAGAGACATATTACAGCCCATCTTTTGATACGATGACAGCATATTTTTGACAAGGGTTTTATAGTTGTCAGCTTTTCTATTTCCCAAGAAATAGTGACCACCAGACGGAAATCATTCCAAGCAGTTTCTTCAATACTTGTTAAAGTGTTTTCAAACTGTGTATCTTTCAAAATATTTCGAATCTGTGGCCCAACAAAAATACTTTCTTTAACCTTTGCCTCACTTAGTCTTGGAAATTTCTGACGCAGGTATTGAAAAGCTGACCCATCTCTATCTAATGCCTTGACAAAGTTTTTCATTAGGCCCAACTTGATATGCAGTGGTGGTAATAAATTTTTTTTCGAATCTACTAATGGCATGTGCTGTACATTTTTTTGACCTGGCTCTAGGAATTGACGAACAGGCCAGTTTTGTCTGATGTAGTGAAGTGCCTTTGCCCGACTGTCCCATTCACACAAAAAACAGCAAAACTTTGTGTAGCCTAGCTGCAGCCCAGTAAAAGTGCAACAACTTCCAAATCGCCACAAATATGCCATTGGTGCTCATCGTATTTTATGCATGTCAATAGGTACTTCATATTGTCATATGATTCTTTCATGTGAACTGCATACCCTACAGGAAGAGATGGTAAAATATTTCCAATATGCAATAACACTGCCTTTAAACTCAATGTTGAACTGTCTATAAACAATCTCCATTCTTCTGGGTTATAGTTTATATTTAAAGCCGCCAATAAGCCGTTAATGTTACTGCAGAAAACCAAGTTATTCTCCATATTGAAAAATGGTTCTAAGTCTTTGTGGCGTTTACGAAAAACACATACCGAAACATCGTCTTCTAACAAGTTCCACTGCTGCAGTCTTGATCCAAGTAAATCAGCCTTACATTTAGGAAGTTCTAAATCTCTTACAAGATCATTTAATTCTGACTGTGTTATTTTGTGCGGTTGGTGGCATGACGTGCTCGGTATAAAATCAGGATCTCTTGACGTTGATGGCATATCTTCTTCCTGACGAATCACTCGATCGCCATTATCTGATTCGTTTTCTGATTCGCAAGTGTAGGATTCTGGGGGTTTTGGAATAGGATTTTCGTCACTGTGAGGCACAGGTCTCATCGCAGATGGTATGTTTGGGTAGTTAATAACTGATTTCTTTTTCTTGGACATACCTGTGGCTTGTCCAACACAAGGTACCATGCAAAAGTAACAATCATTAATATGACTCTCCAAACCATTGGGACAGCAAAGCGCATAGACCGTTTTTTGCCATTTAACCAGCTCCTCAGACTTGAAGCACATGTGGGGTGCCCACTGTTTGTCTTGATCACCTAATTTACAACCGAAATAAAGCTGATATGCCTTTGTTATTAGTGGAGTAATAGACCGTCTCTGAGACGCAAAAGTCACATCACCATACACGTAACAAAACTGATCTGGATTGTTTACACACTTTCGAGACATCTTGCACGAACGCTGTCAGCCAACTGAGGAAAAAATGGCTAATATAAAACAATATAATGTACATGTATGTATAACGTAACACAATCATGCCGATTACATCATCTTTCCTTGCCGAATATAAAAATGTAGCACGTGCATTCTTGTGAATTGCAGTATATTAACACTGTCACAGCAGGAACACATATAATTACCGTATCTCTAAAACTTGAACTAATATTGAAAAAATAAGTTTCATTCCGGTTTTAGCACATTAAAGATAGTAACATTTTGTTGATTTTATTTAGGATATTTTTTGGCTGTTGATCAGTGTTACAGGATGGTTGATCTCAGTGCTCCGCCCCTGATCCATTTGCAAAAAAGCTCTGTTCAATTTATATCTCTTATTTTTTACATAATTCCTACTAACATCAATTTGTTTGTTCAATCGGTGCTCCAGCATTCCGTTCGATTCCCGCTAAAATTTTGATACAGCTGCTAAAAGCTAGTCCTCTTCAGCTGATATTACTTCGTAAGTAATTCTCTCCAAAAGCGTCTTACAATTTTGAGATTAGGCTTGCACTTTAGGTTCCTGTAATGTTGTAGATCTGTATAGTAACACCATGCCATGTGTGCAATGTTTTGGTAAATTGTTACGTCATCGCCATGCGTCACAAGATGTCCTTCCACATTTAAAATGTCGGCATCAACTATTCATAAGAAAATGCGCACTCGCCTATTTTAAAAAATTTTAGTGTATTCTGTGAGCTGCCAATTTTTAGAGATGAATCAAACTTAGCTTTTTTATGGGACAGCCTGTATATTTTTTCTCGTTTGATTGAAGATTGTATAGTCTTTACAAAAAAATTTAACACATGATATTTATTTTGAATAATAAATCGAAAATTCATCATTTCACATGTCCATATATAGTAGAAATCACATATATTTTTATTCACGTCACAAAAAGCCACGATTGGTGGTCGACTTACGAAAAATGGCAAGTCATATGAATTTAATGTGCTAGAAAATGAAGAAGATATATTAGCATGTCTCACCGACTACAAATATGTCTACATGGTTGCCGCTTATGCAGAGGCTTATTTTGTCGAATTCGCAAGTCTACGGCATGTCGTAAATAATATCATACCGTCATTTTGACGTTCAACTATGAGGTTAAAAATACCACAATACAGGAAACACGATATTAGGATACCAGGGATGTTTCCCATTTGACATGACAGTTCATATTGTCAAAGCCTATCTTCTGTAATGTGTTCCGCAGTATTTCAATATCGACTTATCTCCGACTTGCCTCAATACGTAATTTTTCCGTCACTCTCAACTTACATGCTATGCAGAGAGAATGAGAAAGATGACGAATGCTGAGAATTCCTACAACATACCAATTTTGAAGATATATGGCATCACTGGTGATTTGAAGCCTATGACGTGCATTAAAAGTTATATGACTCGAACTGTACCTACGCAGTATCATAGTGTGTATTAATATAGTATTAGTAGGTCTTAACTTTGTTATATACGAGAACCTTCCCACTTCGGTTGGCCCAATTCAAGATTTGTACCAAAATATGCCTTTATAAACTACGAAACTATTTACTTCTAAAACAATTTATTTTCTCAAAAATATTTTAGATATACGTCGTAAAAAATATACTAAGTGACATATAAATCCGAACACCCAGTTTAAATGGTTTTATTTTAATAAAATTTTGTATAAGTACTTAATGAAGCATAATAAGTATATGATAAAAATTTCAAAATGATTGCACTACTTTAAAGTCCTTTGACCTTTAATAATGTGTGGATGCACCCTGATGTGCTACGCATTCTCCAACGCGCCTAGTCATGCTTCTGATCAGGTGGTCAATGTCCTCCTGTGGTATCTCATTCCAGGCAACCACCAACTCCTCTCGAAGTGCTTCTAGAGTCTGAGGAGGACGTTGCAAATTGAGCAATCTCCTACCCATCATATCCCACACGTGCTCAATTGGGGTTAAGTCGGGAGATCTTGGTGGCCATGGTAACAATGTGACATCATTATGTTGAAAGAAGTTTATTGTGACTCTTGCAACATGTGGTCGGCCATTATCTTGTTGAAAAGTTGGATCTGCCAGGGTGTCAAGATAGGGTAAAAGATGGGGTTCTAGAACTTCGTGAATATAACGCTGCGCGTTCATGTTACCTCTGATGAAGATTAAAGGTGACCTGGAACCATAAGCTATAGCACCCCAAATCATAACTCCAATAGTGTGATGAACATGTCTTTCAACAAAAAACTGTGGATTCCTCCTTTCACCACGTCGCCTTCTAACCCTGGCACGACCATCGTGCATGCCTAAACAAAATCGAGACTCGTCACTAAAGACAATACTGTTCCATTCCTGATCCCAGAGTGACCGTTGTCTGCACCACTCAAGGCGATTACGTCGGTGTTCTCGAGTTAAAGGGAGGACCCAGTGTGGCCGGTATGAAAACAAGCCAAAACTTGCCAATAGGTCTTCCGTGTTCTGCAAACCATTCATTTGCAATGGACCTGGTAGTGGAGAAACGGTCCCTTAAGGCGGCGATCTTCACGGTCTGTTGTTCTACGGCGGCGTCCAGTGCCCCTTGCTCTTTGCGTACGGCTTTCTCGAAGCCATGCCTGACAACACTTAACCACAATGTCTACACTTCTTTGCACTCTAACTGCAATTGCCCGAAAAGAAAGTCCAGCTTCCCGAAGTCCCACTATACGGCCCCTATCAAACTCACTAAGTTGACGAAATCGTACAGGTCTCCGTACTCTAGGCATCGTAACCGATCGTAAAGGATGTCAAGAACCAAAATCCGCCAACGTTGATTCTTTACTGCGGCTGAAATATTCATTTTTAGAGCGTTAGTGAATTAAAGAAAAGCAGTATAAAAACCGGAATGTCCAACTGATAAGGCTGAAAATTTTTTCACTTGTTATTTACAGTGAGATAAATACATTCACCAACTTTTATTAAAATAAATCCATTTAAACTGGGTGTTCGATTTACATATATATGTCACTTAGTATATATTATAACAATGTCTGGATATTAGGAGTTCGTGCCACTTTGGAGTTTTGAGATGCTTTTGTAAATGATGGCTTAATTGTTTTTATATCTACACATCTAAATTTTGATGTTGGTCTCAGTGATACTACGTACCTGTTAGGCATAATAAGTCACACATATTTTCCCTACATCTACCAGGGAAACAAAAATATGCTACAATTGATTTATATAATTTGATATGTAGATGGAACAATGGAAAACCCACAAAGCGATATAACATAGACAGCTTAAGGGATGAATCCACCAGTTTCCTTTACAAACTACGTTTAGCACAAAAACTGGACGAAGATATTAACGGCAAGGCAGAAGAAATGTATGAAACTTTGAAACACAAAATTCACGAAGCAGCACTAGAAGCACTTGGTGTTAAAGATAGAACGGAACACAAAAATTCTTGGTGGACGGACGATTTAACTGGTAGAAGAAAAGAAAAACATATCTTAAATGGTTAACTACAAAAGACGATGAAGATCGAAAAAGCTATAATCGTTTTAAATATATAGTAAAAAAAGAAATTAAAAAAATAAAAAACAAAACATGGGAAACCAAATGTGCTGAAATTAGCTCAATGGCAGGAGGATCTAGGTCTAGAGAAGCTTGGCGAACTATAAATGGTCTTAAAACAAACACGAATGAAAGAAGAAAAATAAATCCCATAAAAATAGAACAGTGGAAAGACTACTACAATAATCTACTGGCAGAACAACGTGGAGAGTATTTAGACACGCAACTAGATATAGATCAAACGGGAGTTAACAGAGTAGATACCATTCAATTGGAAGAAATAAAAACAGCATTACAAAAAATGAAAAATAATAAAGCTCCGGGACCGGGGGATTTGCCTATCGAGTTAATTAAACACGCCACCACAAGAACGCACGAGCGACTTTGTGTAATTTTTAACAAGTGCCTGGAAGGGGAAACGATTCCCAGATATTGGAGGAGCTCTTACATAAATTCCATTTATAAAAAGGGAAACAGGAGTGACTGTAGTAATTATCGGGGTATTAGTATTACATCATCCATCGGAAAGCTGTGCGAAAGAGTCCTAACAGCCCGAATAGAAGACGAAGCCACGGAAATTGAAGAACAAAGTGGATTTCGACCTGGGCGATCCTGTGTCGACAACATATTTACAATAAAACAACTGACAGAAAAGAGATTAGCAAGAGGAATGGAGCTACATGCTACTTTTATAGATCTCCGCAAGGCATTCGACTCCGTCCCTTTGCAGAAATTATGGATCGCAATGAAAGAAGCAGGCATAAATAGCAAATACATAAACGCCGTAAAAGCAATGTATAGAGAAAATCAAGTGGTCGTTAAAGTCGGAAATCAAATTTCTGAGGCTTTCCCACAAACAAAAGGTGTTAAGCAGGGCTCCTGCCTCTCTCCAACCCTGTTTAAAATTTATCTCTGCAGCGCTTTAAAACAGTGGATAAGAAAGTGCAGCCCCATGGGGATATGGTTAGAGGACTTTCACTTGTATACAATCCTCTTTGCAGATGATCAGGTAGTCTTTGCAGAAGACCAGCAAGACATGACTTACATGATAAACAAACTTATAGAAGAATTCACTAAATGGGGTTTGGAGATAAATATACAAAAGACACAATACATGACTATAGGAGGCACAGGACAAGACATCAAAACAAAAAGCGGAAAAATAGAAAACGTCGGACAGTACCAATACCTAGGAGTTACAATAGATGAAAGCGGAAAGGATAATAAAGACATACTAAGGAAAATAGGAAAAGGAAAAAATATGATTAAAGCACTACATCCGATCTTGTGGAGTAAGAACCTAACAAAGAAAACAAAAAAAAATATATATCAGGCTATGATTCAGCCAGTACTGACGTATGGGTCAGAAGCGTGGGTTGTAGATATAAATATGTCACAAAAGCTTCTCTCAACCGAAATGATGTACTGGAGAAGATGTTCCGGTTTAACTTTACTTGACCATGTTAGAAATGAGACCATCAGAGAAAGAATGGAAGTCGAAAATACAATAATGGACGATATAACAGAGAGGCAGTTAAAATGGTATGGACACCTGCAACGAATGAACGAAGAAAGGATACCATTAAGGGTTTGGAAATGGACACCAGCACAAAGAAATAAACGAGGAAGTCCACGAAGGAAATGGATTTCAAACATCCATACCGCAATGGAAAGTAGAGGACTACATGAAGGAGACTGGAACGATAGGATACGATGGCGTATGGGTTGCGAGAAGCGACCTTAGGTTGCAGAAACTCGCCATATATGATATGTAGATGTCGAAGATTCATCGTACCTAAGTGAACGTACCTAATCACGATTCAATTACGCCTTCTAAAACGATTTGTCTCATCCTTTTCTTTTGAAACCTCTAACGAATGCGTGGGAAGTAAGAGCCAATCTACTTGACACCTTTTTAGTACATTTGGGTGTGTTAGGTTTCTTGAGGTATAGGTCATTGAGATTTAACAAATTGTTGAGGATAAGTGTTACTGAAAAGTATGTTTTCATGCAAAATATTGATCGATTTGATGATTTTTTTTTGGATCTATCAAATAAACTTTTTACAACTTCCTTCTTTGTACTTGTTGCGTGATTTGACCTATAATGCAGATATCTATTGGTATGCGTTTTTATATAGGGTGACTTTGAAGTTGAGTCATTAATTTTCAGATAATGATTGTAGAAGGAAGATATACCAAAATATGTGTGTAAAAATAAAAAAAATAAAAAAAATGTTACCTTGTTTTATAAAGTATCCTCCCGACAAGTATTTCAGTGCGGACCTGTATTTGTTCGTGCAGTCTTGGAGCACCGGCATGCCCTCCCCGGTGAGGTCTTTAGTCACCTGATTCACGAGCCCTTTGTACTACATTAACAAAGGCACGAGGGGTTGGTTGCACTCGATTTATTAAGAATCATGTCCACAAGTTCAGCATTTTCGTAAACATGTGCCATTTTTTATTTCGTTTGAGCCACGAAACAAACACCACTATTCACTCACGCGTTACCGACTGAAACATTGACTGACATCGTGATAAACGTTTCAAATTCTTTCGCTTTTTTGTTTCCGATGCGATGAACAGATAAGGCGGATTATATCCGTTGTTGCCAAACACGAGCACATAATATTATTATTGAGACAGGGCGGTACTCAAACTTCTAAAGGCCTATAACTTTGTTAATTTAGTTTTACCAGAAAAATGTTAAAGGAAAAAAAACATTTCTTTTGATCAGATCTACTCACTGTTAAAATAAATGACTCAACTTCGAAGTCACCCTGTATATACCGATGCCATAAAGGGGTCATTATGTTTTGCTCAATACCGACTGTGTAATTGTTCGTGTGATACCCATCTATTTTTGAAATATAACTACTTTGTAAATCCTGGTGTCCACATTTAATAATGACATGTTTTTTTTGTAGGAAACCCAAATTGGACACAACTTACGCTAGCACCTCTAAGACTCAGATCAAAAAGGATATTCAAAAAGACCAACAATACGGAGCCTGGGGAAGCACATTCAAGAACAAAAACAATTTCGCCAATATGCACTGCTGTTAGAACGCTTCAGATATAATGCATCAGATCATTTACGTAACATGTCATTCTTCATTCGTTGCTTCTTTCTTAATAAAGATTTGAAATAGTCTGATATATGCTTATTGTGATCAACATGGTAAGCCGATACTATAGAGTTTCAGCTATCACAAATACAGCATACGTAATAAAATGATAATAGTAATAATAATAATAAGGGGATATTGGGTCCGCTGTTGAGAAAGAGAGATAATATTAGGAATAATAATAATAATAAACAATTTTTATTGCTAAGTACACAAAAAAGTACAGAGCTTTAACAAATTCTAGCTGCTTTCCTGACAAACGACAGAATTCGGATCTTACCAGCGTATAGAAATATCCGCTCTTTCATTCAACCGAAAACAAATTTCTTTACCTAGACCTTACCGTGAAAACTGATATACAGGGTGTCCCAGAAGTCGACGTCAAGCCGAAACCGGGTGATAGGCAAAGTCATAACAGCTATCAGAAAAATATTTAAAAAAATTGTATGTATGTGTTTTGAAAATTATAGGTCCTTGAAAAAGATATAGAAATTTCACACCCTACGGCAGTCTGCCTGTTACTACAAATATTAACTTTTTTGGATTTTATTTTTACAATGTAATGATGAATAATGCATCTTCAAACTGGTGTCTCAACCTTACTGCCAACTTTTCTCGTTCAGGAAAAATTGCCACTTATTTCCCAACCAAGTATTCCAAAGTAAAAGTTTGCTCAACTTTAACTGGCTGTACTGGAAAAAAATGTACTACGAGAGTTTGACAAGTAACCTTAACAGTTGGCACATTTAATAACGATTCCAAAATGGTATAACACTTAGAAGATTACTCATTAACTTATGCACAATTTTTATTTGAAAAAAACTGATGAAAATTTTTCAAAATGTCCTAAACAGCGATTATGAAAACGCACAAGGACCCTTAAGGATAACTGTTTGCACAACAGTGGGCGTCAAAATGCTGCTGATGATGATTTACCTTTACAGCAAATGCTCAAACTGTTTTCCTTCAGCCGCAATACACGCTCGACATCTTTTTAAAAAAGATCGGGTTATTAAACGATCGAATCCACGGTTATTAACAAACTCAGCTGCTTCCAATAGTCTTTGCCGTAGCTCAGCTACATTTTTAATCGGCTTGAAATACACTTTTTCTTTTGCAGTTCCCCAGTAAAAAAATCTAAAGGATTCAAATCAGGTGATCGGGCTGGCCACGGTATTGTACCAGACCGCCTTATCCATCTGCCTGGAAAGTTTTGATCAAGATTCTCTCTCACTGAGAGTTCTGGGACACCCTGTATACATAGAAAAATCAGTTTAATTTTGTATCTTTCATAGACAAAAGGTGTTGAAAGGCCCCCTTTCACCTTCACGGAAACTCGGCTTAGTATGACATCCTCGTCCGAGTCCCCGTCACTGCCGTCTAGGGCACGTTCAATCTCCGGGCCATCCTCTATATTCCCGGCTGATTCACCTATAGGACGACCCATTTCCTTGTCCGTAACATCCGGAGGTTCCAGCGAGAGCTGTCACGGCTGACCTGTCCGCTGTGAAGGTAACTGGTCTACCGCAACAGCTCCCGTCGGTCTAGATTGCACCTGGTCAGACCCCTGGTTTTTGCTCAGTAAGCAGCCCTGAGTTACACAGCCTGTTGACGTTGTCCACTGAGAGAACAAGTCGGACCCCTTTAGGTTCCTCCTTCCTCTCCAGTAGCCTCTACGCACTGGGATTACTTCTAGGGTTTTGTCTACTGAGCTTCCTCGTGATGACCTCGTTTCCCAGGGTGTGATCCTGGAACCAAGCCATCACGCGGTGGTAAACAGGAAGGTCACCGAAGCTCATCGAAGTGAGCCTAGCGCTTTCCCATGGCCTTCGCAGACAAAGGTGGTGGCTGCCCCTCGAGAGAGTGGAATCAATGTACCTTGGAAGGGCTACCTCATCTCGGAGTCCACCTATCAGCACAGTAACCATCTCCTGCATCTGTGCCTCGGTGAAATGAGTCCCGGGATAACCATCGGATACCATAGCCATCCTGAGACCCACTTGGGACGCAGCGCATACCTAATATGCGCATACGCCGCCGAAGTCCCGGTGTCCCACCGACAGGTCGCCCACCGCACTGCCCAGATGGCGGTGGGGCTCGAACAGCCGGAGACCCTAGAAATGGTGCCCCCGCTATCCGCTACCTTTTCTTTTCAGATCCTGACCGATATTCCTTTTTGATGCTTAGAGAGCTCACTCTTTCAGCGAGCTCTCTAGAATTGGTTTCTGCCAGATTCCTCTGTTACAGTACGGTCGGGATCCCCTGGTGAGGGGCCGCCCGGATGTTCAGGGTTCCCTGGTGAGGGGCCACACGGATGTTCGGGGTCCCGCGTTGGGAGGACCTTGGCGAGTTTGTTTGTTGTTTTCGTTGTGGTCCATGATTGTTCCGACGAGTATGGGCCAAATACTCTGGAAAGTCACCCGGTGTACCAGAGGCTCCGATAACCATCGGATACCATAGCCATCCTGAGACCCACTTGGGACGCAGCCCATACCTACTATGCGCATACGCCGCCGTACGGTGCCTCTTCCGCGAAGTCCCGGAGTCCCACGTCAGATCGCTCACCGCACTGGCCAGATGGCGGTGGGGCTCGAACAGCCGGAGACCCTAGAAATGGTGCCCCCCGCTATCCGCGCCATTTTCTTTTCAGATCCTGACCGATATTCCTTTTTGATGCTTAGAGAGCTCACTCTTTCAACGAGCTCTTTAGAATTGGTTTCTGCCAGATTCCTCTGTTACAGTACGGTCGGGATCCCCTGGTGAGGGGCCGCCCGGATGTTCGAGGTCCCCTGGTGAGAAGCCGCACGGATGTACGGGGTCCCCCGTTGGGAGGACCTTGGGGTGTGTGTTGTTGTTCATCATTGTTCCCACGAGTATGGGCAAAAACTCTGGGAGGTCACCCGGTGTACCAGAGGCTCCGATTACCATTGAGCTGCAGGCGACCCAGACATAAGTCCAGGACGATGTGACCCAATGAATCATCTTATTAGTTGAGTTACCAGCTTTTCGGTGGGTCCGAGATGACTCACCGAAAAACCGACACCCCGTTGCCCCCATTACTCGGTCACTTACCGTTCAGCATCAAAGGCCGCCCCGAAGAACAAGCTGGAGGACGTACGGGTTGGATTTTGTAGGAGTAAAGTTCAAGTCTATGGTTTCACTGACTCCTCACTGATACTTCAAAAAAAAAATGGGAAAGAAAAAAAAAAGGAAAAAAATGGGGAAAAAACAAAAAAAGGGGCCTTTCCTCGCTAATTTTTGGATTTAGGCGGTTGGCGGGTTTCTTTGGTAGTGGTTCTGCTAGAAGCAGTTGGAAGGTACACGGGTTAAAACCGAAAGGTGGGCAACCACGGACGTATTCGTTGAGCATGGTACTTCAAGCTTAAAGGATCTACAAAAAGGAAAGGATCATGCAGAGAAGGGTATATAACAAATAGAAAAAATAATGGGCAAAGTCTGCAGAAAGCAGGACAGCGGATTCGAGCAGAAAATGGGATAGGTGACCCGAGCAATACGTACATCTGCTTGTTGGCTTCATCAGACCTGAAATGAAAGGGAAGGGCTTGAATTACCGCGGCACCGCAACCGCGTCGCTGACGGCCCTTGCTGCCCAAAGTGTGAAATTCTCCAGAAATGGCATACTCACTAAAACCCCTCAGTCGTTCGCCACACATCGATACAATATTTTTTATGCACCATACCATAGCCCGAGCTACGGCGTGTGTGGGACTCCAGGTTGTCCTGAGGAGACCACCTAATACCCACGTGGCCCGACTCATCAGCGTCTCGGTAGGCCATGTGTTGTGCGTGACCTGCGGTCTGCTACAACGTCTCCTCATGTGTTTCAGTCTCTGGGAACGCCGGGTTGGTTCCCTTCACCTCGCACATTCTATCGATGTCGTTAAGCGATCATCTATAGAGGGTCTGCTAGGTTCTCTTGAAACTCTTGTTTTCGAAAAATCAAGAGTTTCAAGTCCTCTTACCTATATATTGTTCCTGGTCCTGGTCCTGATGGGTCCTGGTCCTGGTGGGTCCTGGTCGTGGCGGGTCCTGGTCCTGGTTGGTCCTGGTCCCGGTAGATCCTGGTCCCGGTGGTTCCTGGTCCCGGTGGTTCCTGGTCCTCTGCATCCACGCCGTGGGGGGGGGGGGGGGGTGAGAGCAACCGCGGGTTCTCCTAGTCTCCTAGTCAAGGTTCCAGTTAGCGGGTGCCAACTGGGACCTTGGTCTAGGGTACCTGGTTCTGCGGTTGCGAGGCCTCTCGTCCGGATCGTAGTCCATGAGGAATCGTAGCTGCTCGTTCGGGTGGTCCTGAGATTTCTGGAAGGTCTTCTCCGCTTTTTTCCTCATGTACTCGTGTATGGTGTCCCAATGCAGGTCTCTACGCAAGGTTGAGTTTCTTACGTAGGATGGTGCATTGGTGGTGATCCGGACTAGCTTCATCTCTAGAGCAGCAAGTCGCTTGCGGTAGCTGGGAGCAGCGTACCCCCAGACCGCGGAGGCCGATTCAATATTGTACGCATACATACTTTTATACGTATGTACATGAACAACCGAGCAAAATAGAAACCTACTATTGGTTCCTTGGTTTATTTCTGTTCTCCCGTACTTTACTCATTATCGTTCGTCTCACTATTGGTTGACTATCACGATTTTCCCTTTCCAGCTGTGTCTGGTAGTCAATCCATCCACCACGTTCTAGTAGGTGATTAGGACGATCCTTCTCTTCATTGCAATATACGCAATTATGGCGACTCTCTCTTTCCTACCCTCTTCAGGTAGTTGGCAAAACAACCATGTCCTGTGTGTGTCCCTTATCAAACCAAATTTTAATATCTGGGATCAGCCTTCTGGTCCATGTCCCATGGCCAGTTGCATCCGTCGCCTGTAGCTTTGACGCGCATCTCTCCGCAGCCAGCAAATAAATTGGCGGGATTCCAGCTACTACCAGCAATGCATCGGTCGATACCGTTCCATAGGCGCATACCACGTGCAACACTTCCTTTCGCGGACTTCTCAGTATTAGCTGTCTATATTTCTTTTTCCTCAAAGCCTG